ATTATTTTCACTGATTTACCGATTTTTTGCGAAATTTAAAAAAAAAATATAAGTGTGACAGTTTATTTCATTTTAGAAAATTTTGCAAGAAATCAGATGAGATCTTTACGAATTCTTTAAAATTTCTCTACAATTCAGAATACTCTGAAAAAATGATTTGCAGGGTATAGATTCAACTAACACTTTGTTTTCCAAGTAATCTATTGTACAGTTCAGGTCACGAGAGGGTGGAGTCATCAACGAAATGGTAGGTGAAGCATATGTTGTGTGGTGTGGCACAAAGCTTTTGCTGGTTTATTTAAAGCCTTTGGCAAAATATATGCGACCTTAACTACAGGTTTCGCAGCGGTAGATGATTTGTTCTGCGTTTCAGCCTCTGATGTTTTATGCGAAATGGCTGCTGCTTTTGTTGAAGTCTGTGGTAGAGTACTAATTTTACTACTTTGTGATGGCCATGGCTTTTTCAGGGCTGTAATTATGGATGCAATCTGATTTTTCTTAACGGACGGTACAGCACCCTTTTTAAGGTAGCGCCATCTTCCGAATCCTGTAAAATAATTTCAATTAATCAAAGCATAATAGTTTATTAAAAATTGAGAAATGTTCCGAATGCTGTCTGCTAGTTCGAGGCTATGGAGGCTGGTACAAAAAAAAAAAAGAAGGGGTGTGCCACCAGCTTGAAAGAGGAAAGACCAAAGAATTCAATGGGATGCTTCACTTTCTTCTCCGACTACAGGGTTCCTCGAACAAACAGATACTTTTCGGAACTCAACCCCCAAAATTTACATACCCATTTCAACTTTTAAGCTTCCTTCATAATCATCTAGCAGAAAATGTTCACTACAAACTTTTGCATTTCTGCCGACTGCTTGGCCGCAAAAGTCCGCCCATTTTTGGAACAACTCTTGGTTGTTTGGGAATTTATGAAAATTTATTGTACTGTCTTTGATAGAGCTCTTGCAATATAGTACAGCGCACTTCATATTAATAGATGCGTATCAGTTTTTTACCACCGCCGAATAAAGAAAAAATGGATGCGCTCTGTCTGCGAATGCCGTAAACAAAAATCCGATTGCTTTTCCTAAAGTAAGATGCCTTTGAGAAGTTTATGTCACTTTCGAATATATAAATTCTTCGAGAGGTGTTATGATTCCACCAAGATAAGCTCCAATATCAAGAAATCCAACAATTGCAGTGATAAATAAAAGCTTATAAAAATAACAAGAACGATTGAAACAACACAAACGACGAACAGACTAAATATGGCAAAGTCGACGTCGACTTTCGACCAAAATCGACTTTTTACTCCTGAATTTTATATTATGTTCAGACCGATAACGAAAACACTTTGAAAACGAGTTTAGGCATTTTGGGCTGAATACAAGATTGCGCATTCCCGCAGAATGACGTTTGTGGCAACGGGTAAACAAAGAATATGGCGAAGAACAATGAGTTGACAGTTGTGAATTTGCAATGAGAAAACGTGTTTTCTTCACAATTCACCAATTTTTCAAGCCATCTTATAGCAAATTAAGCACAACGTTAACAAAAATTATACAACCACTCTTGAAATGTGTTCAGAAGAATAGAAAGAATTTTGTGTTTGTATTGCAGGTGCCGGAAAAGTGATAATATCTTGTCGCAGCGCATGTTTTCCTACAGAAAGTGGTCGATGCTTGCTTACCTCCGATTTTAATTTGTAATTTGTGGTATTTCAACGTTTTCAACTTAACAGTCGTGTTTAAAAGTGGTGCTTTCAATTGTATGTGGGCTGGTGTTGCTGTTTGAGAACTGTGAAGCTGTGGAAGCTTTTGACAAATCTCCAAAGGACCAAAAGGAAAAATCAACTAAGTTGCCGCCTTGTAAATCATGCACTGTGCTTGTGGAATCATCTAATTTGGTGAGTGCGTGGCAGTAATAACAAATTTGTGTCGTATTAATATAAACTTTGCTTACAGGGTTTGGAAAAAATAAGTCGCGGCAGGCATGCCGGTTCATTACACCATGGTTGATACTGGTTGTTGGTGTTTTCGTCGAGATTTTGCATACAGTTTTGCTACACAAAAACAAAACCAAAATACTTTTCTTTCATTTTCTTTGCATTTACATCCATGAACGAAAGACACAAGATCACGCGGGAAGGAAAGAACGAAAAAGTTATTTACTGGCTGCCGAAATCTCGACGCCATCTTTGTTGTAAGAAGTAAACAACGAAGAGAACGGAGAAAACCGCGAAATTGTTGAACGCATGAAAAATCATTTTTATTATGCAAATTCTTCTATAAATCATGCCGTTGTGTTAAATTATTCTTTATCTTATGTGTACACACGTTGTCACTGTTGAAGTTATGTTATATTATAGTTAATGTACTTTGCCACTTTATACTTGTATGTAATAGATCAGTTATTCATTTGTTATACTATTGAAATTTTCTATATCTGTCTTAATATTTTTTCATTCGAAACATTCAATTCCAATAAACAGCACTTCCTTGTACATACATTTTTCAATAACTTACAAAAGGTTATGGGCCCAGCTTGCGGAATGGATGCTTCAAGAATCCGAATATTGGCTAGTGAAGCAGATTGGCCAATATGGAAACGCAAGATAAGAGACTTGCTCGACCACCACGAAGGATGTTTGGATGCTATCGATGGGAAGCTTACAAAGCCAGAGTCATTACCTGATAGACCAACTGATGCCGAGTTAAAAGCACATAAAATTAAAGAAGATTTTTATCGGAAAGCAAATAGCTATGCTAAAATGATGTTGAAAAGTTCGATCACAGATGCTGTTTACCAGAAGGTCATGGATAAAGAGACGGCTCATGACACTTGGAAGGCGTTAAAGGAACAATTTGAAGCAACTTCAAGAGACCAGCTGTTCAAGATTTGCACTGATTTCTTCGCATTCAATTGGGATCAAAACCAAGATGTATCTACCCATGTTGCAATACTACGAGGGCGGTGGAACGAGCTCAACAATGGTTTAAAAGCGAAAGGTGAAAATCCTCTCCCAGATTTGATTCTTTTGTGCAAAACACTCAACATTTTGCCACTTAAATTTGAATCATTTCGGTCGAGCTGGATGCTTTTGTCAAAAGATGATGACAAGACTTTCGACGAGCTGAGTATACAACTAAGTGTTTTTGAGCGAAATTTCAAGAGGCCGAATGATATTCCCGAGGAGGAGGCATTATATTCAAAAAGCAGCAGGGCAGTTGGGCACAAGTCTAAGCAGAAGAAAGAAAGCAGCTGTCATTATTGCAAAAGGAAGGCCATTGGATACGAGACTGTAAAAAGTGGATAGCAGACGGTCGACCATCGAAATATAAACAGAGTCATGAGGTGCAAAGTCTTGAAAAGAATATAAATGTTTCGCTGGTTAGTGTTTCGACTGAGTTGTATCCAGTAGATGTAAGCAGAATCACGTGGTGGGTGAACAATGGTGCAACAAAGCATGTGACTAACTGCAAAGATTTTCTTTTGGATTATACTGCGTTTAATGGTGGTGTACAGGTCAATAGTAGAACCGCACTTTATATACTGCCCCACGATTTTCTTCCTAGCGGGGGACTCCCATGTAGATAAGCTGCAAAAAATGCAAAGCCGGGCGATGAGATTCATCCTCAACAAACCGTATGACACACCAACAAGATGTATGCTTGAAACCTTGAATTGGTTAAGCGTGAAGCAACAAGTTTTTTACCACGCTATGAAATTTGTGTACAATATTAAGAAGGGCAACCTGCCGGATTATCTTAGCGATAATCTCCGATATATAAATGAGACGCATACATATTTGTTGAGAGAGAATAACAGCTGCAGACTCCCGAAGTATAGAACAGAAGTGGAGAAAAAAAATAATTTCTATACAGGCTTAAAGTGCTTCAATGAATTACCAGAGGCTATAAATAATTGTGATACTATCACTCTTTTCAAGCGGCTGCTATTTGACTATTGTAGAACGCAGCCTGCAAGATAGTGATGTATCAACATAGCGTGGATTGGAAACTAGGCCTTTCCAACCACCAAGATATCGAGACTGGGCGGATCGGAAACTCGGCCTTTCCGACTACCTAGACCCTTAGATAATAAACAATAAACGAGCGGATTGGAAACTAGGCCTTTCCAACCGTCAACCGTCACGAAAGCGCGACTGGGTGGATCGGAAACTCGGCCTTTCTGACCACGCAGGAGATATCAATAAATGGAGTAACCCAAAAAGAATAGCGCGGATTGGAAACTCGGCCTTTCCAACCGTCTACATAACTTCCAGAAAATTGCATGCGTTTAGATTGACATAAAATAATTGCAGTGATAAAGAAATAATGTTATTTAAAAATTTCTGTAGAGCATTTTGTATTTTGTATTTAATATTTAATATTTACATTTTAAATCTAAAATCTAATTATAAGAATGTTAAATCTTTGTTGCAATATAAGTCTAACAGACTGTAAAAAATAAATAAATAAATAAAGCAGCTGGAAAGGAATGTCTTAAGGCGCTTGGCAAAGGGTCAATCGAGATGCTGTCAAAGATTAATGGTGGAACGCTGAAATTGACGTTAACAAATGTCTGGTATGTTCCAGAAATCAACAGAAGTCTATTCTCTGTATTGGCTGCACAGGACCAAAATCCTGATAGTGAATTTTGGTCAACAAATGTTAAATGCTGGTTAAAAGTGAACGGCAATTTTGTAATGCGTGGCTATCGAGAGGCTAATGGATCATTATTCCAAGCTGATATGAAACCAATTGTACCGGATGAGACGCATGCTAGTATAGTAGATACTGATGATTCATTGCTGCAGCTGTATCATGAACGTTGGGGGCATCAAGATAAGCGGCATGTTAAAAAGTTACTTCAAAAAGAACTGGGAATAAACGTTAAAAATAACAATAATTTGTGCGAATCTTGTGTGTTTGGAAAGGCACATCGTTTACCTTTTGGCAACAGGATGAAAGCTATGAAACCAGGAGAATTGATGTCGGCTGATGTATGTGGTCCATTTCCAAACTCATTCAAGAAAAACAGATATTATGTAGTTTTTAAAGATTCGTTTACAAAGTTTCGATACTGCTATATCATCAAGAATAAATCAGTAGTTAAAGATTCACTGGAAACTATGCTTGCGCATGCTAAACAACAAGATATTTTAGTAAAAGAATTGCTAAGTGACAATGGAGGAGAATTTAACAACTCGGAAGTAAAAGAGGTCTTAAAAAAACATGGTATAACACAAAGATTGACAGCGCCATACACACCAGAGCAGAATGGATCCAGTGAGAGGGAAAATGGTACCATTGTGGAGATGGCAAGAACTTTTATGTACTCAAATTCTAATATAAAGTTTTCTGAAGCGATTTGGGCAGAATTTGTAACAGCGGCGGTTTACATACTTAATCGCACTGGGAAGTCATCTGTTGAAGATGTAAGTCCTTATGAACTGTGGATGACAAAAAAGATGAACGTTACCGCATTTATATTCCCGAAGAAAATTTAATTACTCTTTCACGAGATGTCAAATTTATCGAAAATATGAAGGAAGTAAAATTACCTTTAACTGATGCTTGTCAAGAGGAAGAAGTTCAAAATCCAGAGGAGCACGAAAGGGATCTTACAGAAGAAAAAGACAAAAGCGTTCAAGATAATCAAACAAGAAATTCGGAAGATTCTCAGAAAGAGGAATCTACGAATAATAATCATGTGCGAAGAAAACGCATGAGGGAAGAAAGCAGCGATGAAAGCGACGAAAACGAGAAGGAAAGTGTACAAATAGGACCAAATTTGAGAAACCGTCAAAATATCAAGAGATCAAAAAACCTGGAAGATTTCGTTATGGAGGCTGAAGAATATGTCAATGGCTTGCAAATACCAGAAAGTTATGAAGAAGCAATAACAAGTAACGAGAAACGTGAATGAAAATTTGGTATGGGTAAGGAGATGAAATCGTTACAAGAAAACAAAACTTGGAAACTGGCAGACTTACCAAAGCAGGCTAAAGCACTGCCATGTAAATGGGTATACAGACTTAAAACGAACTCTGATGGAAGCATTGACAAATTTAAAGCAAGATTGGTTATTAAGGGCTATAATCAGCGTTATGGGATTGACTACGATCAAACTTTCAGTCCAGTAGCCAAGATGGCATCAATTCGGGCAGTTCTCAGCATAGCAGCAATTGAGAAGATGATAATAAAACAATTTGATGTCTCTACGGCTTTTCTTTATGGTGAATTGGAGGAAACTATCTATATGAATCAACCAGAAGGTTTTTCTGACGGAACAGACAAGGTATGTCAGTTAAAGCGCAGCCTTTATGGGTTGAAGCAGGCACCAAGGTGCTGGAATAAGCGAGTAGGTGGATTTCTCACAAAGT